TCGGCCTAAATTTATGAAGAACAATTATTTATTTGCAAACTTTTATAATAGAAACAAAGAAAAACGTGTGTTTTTTTTTCAAATTTTTTGGTATTTTTTTGTTAATTTAGCAAAAAATAAAAACCCCAGTGGTGATTAAATACCACCAAAAGAAAGCTCTAGTTGTGTGAAGAAAATGATAACATTTTAGTTTGGGTACAATGTTGTATGACCGCGCAATTGTCATTCCAAGTGTGAGAGCGCTGAAACCTGAAAAATGGCCTGGGCAGGAAGGTGTAAAATTGCCCGGTATTGAATTGGTTAAAACCCAATCATGTTACTGACCTGTTGTCAATTGACCTAATTAGCTGCTGAAAAATGTTCTTCCAGCTTTTTCTTGTTAGTACCACTTACTTACAGCCCCAACTTTCTAGAGACATGTTGCTGCCATCAATTTTAACATGACCTTATTTTTTTCTTGAAATTGTACATTCTCACAGTTCATACATTTGATTTGTTTTCTATTTTCTATTGAGAAAAAAAAGATGAGTTTATGAAATTTGCATATCATTGCATTCTGTTTTATGTAAATTTTACACAGCATCTGAACATTTTTGGAATTGGGGGTTGTACATAGCAATGTATGAGCAATTTCAGTCCCTTTCAAAAGTCTTTTGATTGCATAAACAGCCAGAGAGATGAAAGCAACTGATTCCATTTAAATTATGAAATGATGTTAAGTGTTGGAGGTAGGTTGCCCTTGATCCGTTTGCATGTTTTACAATTGAAAGCAGATTGAAAGAATTGATGTTGCTTTTGAAATGGCTGTAAACATGCATGTAATTGTCAAATCGTTCACAAAATTCAGCTATACAGCTACATTGTGTACACTGTCTGGGAAACTCTTCTGCCAGAAAAGTTAAACAAATTTGTAAGTTAGTAGACTAACTTGACACTTTACATACCAAGTTTAAGTAGACTATAGAAGAGACTGACAATGTAAAGATTCTGTTTTTTGGGAATTCAGAAAAATCAAACACAAAAGATGACAATAAACTGTGCCTCAAGAGCAATTGACTGATGTTAATACCCAATATAAAAACATTTAGATCCACAGATTCTAATTCATGTCATTTGTTCCAGCATATTGTTCTATCACAAATCCAATCAGATCACATTGTTTTCACTTATTTCATCAGCCTTTGTGAATTGTTGCGTGTCTGTATAATTTGTAAATAAATTACAAAGCAAACATCAAAGATAATTGCACTAATTTCTTTCCCTGGAGTGCACATTTCCATTTTTCTGAATGATTGAATGAAGTTTTGTTGATCAAAGGTAGGGGAAAAAATTCCAAAAAAAAAGAAAAAACATATACAGTATGTGACTTGCATCATCCATTTTCAAGTAAACCTCAAAATTGTGTGAACTATAAGTGTGGGATATCTTTACTTTTCCTAGTTCCTAGGATCCATTTATTAAGGTCACAAAACATTTCATTTTGGGGTCCCTGTGTGGCCATTGGTCTATGCTTCTGCAAATTAAGGCTTTTTTTTTTTTTTAACTGCGAGTAACCAGTGAGCTGGCTTTCCTTCTGTTTTCCATGTGGAATGGGTTTTGCTTAACTGTAAACTTTAAAAGACTAATGCCATCATCATTGGCCATCAAGCCCAACTCCTACCAAAACTTTTTTTTTATTCTATTTAGTATAAAGTGGGGAAAGCGTAGCATCTTCTTGCTTTTATTGATGTCTGTGTCCCTGTTGAACAGATTTCCTTTGATGTACTGGTTTGGTGATAACCCTGTTATACTCTAATGCACAAGCTTGAAGGTGAGACCCTCTGGCCATTTTTTTAAACTAAAAAGACAGTTTTCAATGGAGTTTAGCTATTTGAACACCACATCATATCGAATATGGCAGCTCAGAGATCTTTTACCATAGATCCTGTCTTTGTAACTTGGTTTGGACTTTAATAGAACTGGCAACTAAATTGACCAATGTGACCAAATTTATAATTTTAAAGTTGTTTTGATCTTTTTAGGCAGATTACTGTAGACATTTAAATATACAATTTACATTTAAGAATCTGATGCGCTCATTATCACATCCAATTTTGTTTGACAAACCAATAGCTTAGACTCAATACAAATTTACAAGGGCACATCTACATCTCAAGAAATGGGATAAATATTTGCCTTACAGGATCCACATGGTATACAAGAGAAAAATGTAACTTTGAAGTGTTACTGCCTTTGAAACCAACCATTTTATAGCTGATAATTAAATGAGACCATGTGGTTCCTCACAAAAAGCTAGGGTGTGTTATTGTGATTATTTAAGTATGTCTCTCAATTAGTTAAACAATATATGCTGAAAGGACAGAGTAGGCAGGTAGATGTAGTTCTGATAACAAAGGCTTTTAGCAGCTGTAAAGGCAAAATCTAGACTTGTGGGCCTGCATTTTCTTTGTATGTATGTTAACATGGTAGTTTTAGAAGGTTAAGATGATGGAGTGACAGACAAAAGAGAAATTTTAGGAAAGACCTAACTACAAATACAAGATTATCGCATTAGCTTTGGATAGCATCATCTAGTAGAACACTTTTGAATGGGACATCTAGATTTTTCCAAAACCTAACTCACAAGTGCTTTAGTAATAACATATACAAAGAGGATACGCTGACGACCATAGTAGTTGGGTTTAGTAATCCCCATCAAAAGTGCAATAAACTGAACTCTGCATCAATCTTATAATCAACCCACTTCTGTTGTGTTATATGGTTGGTATATTTTTAAAACCAACAATCTTGACCCACCTGTTGACCAGCTCTGTGGACTACTCTAGGGACATGGACAAAAATAAATCTGACCTGTTTCAAACCTTCCCTTATCCAAAACTAAAAAGTTTGAGTTTTTGATATATTTATTAACTAATCTGTGACACCACTTCATCATTCATCTGTGGGTACCAGGCAAATTCTGTTTTGCTTGGAGATGGGCTGGATAAGAGTCTAGGACTCTACAATCAAGTCTAGAACTCTATGATCATGCACCAGCAGGAAACAAAAGATGTTAGACTAGTAATTGTACAAAAAAATGTTAGACTTTATTGAGTCAAGTGATGAAGACATCTCATCACCTGCTTACTTCTTCTGAGTTGTATAAAACACATAAATTTGTTATAACGAAACTTAAAGTGGTATTAACCCCCTCACCCCCCAAAAAAAATGTATTACATTGCAGCTTACCAATTCTTAGATTAGTTTTCTATTTTAAGGCGTGATTTCCTTTATTTTCACTTGGTGATCTAGCCAGTATGCCTGTTATGTTTACAACTTCATTTACCAAACCAAAAAAAAAATACTTGATTCCCCCATCAGCCCAGTCAGTGTTGATGGCGGAATCCCTCCCACTGAGCCATTTTGTTTTCCTGGGGCAGGGGTAACACGGAGAGAACACAGGGAGAACATAGCATAGTATAAAAGCCACTACCAATAATCACATGTAAAATCTGAATGGCTGGTTGTACCCAAGTTGATTGCTCGATCAACTAGGATACATTCAGCCTGCCCGTACATGGTTCGAATCTTGGCTGGCCCTTGTTGAACTGGACAAGATTTAAACTGTCTATGGCTGGCCTTATACATAGCTAGGGAAATGCCTCTATATACATAGATGAGAGGGGGCATGTGAAGTGTGGTGTCAACAGTGCAGAGATTCTATAAGCCCACAAATCATTGCCACCACAAATCAGGAATTATAGGTGACTGACATATTGCTCAAGTAATTTGTTAATAAATAAAAATTTTATATTTAAACAAAGGGCACAGAAACAGTATAGTAATCAATAGGAAGGCATTCCTTTTTTATGACACTTTAAGACAAGAAGTGTGTTACTGACCTGATTAACAGGTAAAAATATTGGAAAAAAGCCTAAAAATTAAAACTAATGCAGCTCCCACATTCAAAGCAGAAGTTCACCCCAAAAGGGGAGTTTGGCTTTAACCCTTCCTTCCCTCCCTCTTCTCCCACTTTTGGAGGTTTGTTTTCTTTTTAAGGAGTGGGTACCTATTTTCAGCAGGTATCCACTCCCCCTTCCATTCTGACTTCCAGGAGATCAAAGCAGAAGTTCTTCCACCATCCCTGCCTGCAACCTTCTGGGGCACGTCATTGGTCCCAGGAAGCTGCAAAACAATTCATACAGTGCAGTGCGGCTTGCACATGCATGGTGGGAAGCCAGCTGTGAAGCCGCAAGGAGTCACAGCCGGCTTTCTTTCATAAACGTGCTGGTGCCTGGGACCCTGAAAACCCTGGGTGAGGATAAGGCTGGATTCCTGGACAGGTAAGTGTCCTTTTTTAAAAGTCAGCAGCTACAGTATTTGTAGCTGCTGACTTTTAAAGTGATACTAAAGTTTTTTTTTACATAACAAACATGTTATACTTACCTGCTCTGAGTAATACTTTTGCACAGAGCAGCCCTGATCCTACTCTTCTCGGGTACCCTGCCGGCGCTATGGGCCCCCCCCCCCCTGGCGAGTTCCCTTAGCAAGCTTCATGCTCGCTCCCAAGCCTGCCCTTCTCCGTGTGTCCATAAGACACACAGAACGGGGATCAGTCATCCCTCCTCGGTGTATGTGATGTACAGCAATGTGAGCCAATGGCTCCAACGTGAGCCAATGAGGAGGCAGAGCACTGGGAAAACAGTCACTCTCGTGCACATTGCTGGCACAGGATTGGGCTCAGGTAAGTTAGGTAAATTAGGCGGGCTGCAGGGGAAGCTGCATACTGAAGTTTTTTTTCTCTTCATGCATGGAATACATGACAAACTTTCAGACTTTACAACCATTTTAGTTTTTTCCTAAATTTTCTTTCTATAAGGACTGGTAAGCTGCAATATATAACTTTTTTTCGAGCTGAATACCACTTTTTAAGCCAGAAATATATGTCTGTCTTTGTCATATCAAAGAGATTGATTCATAGTGTACAGCATAGGAATAGAATAAAATTTGAATGTACATACCACACATTTCAGGTACTTCGTCTGAATTATCCCCACAATCATCTTCACCGTCACAAAGCCACAGATGAAGCTTGCAAAGAGTATTATTACACAGAAATTCATCTGCTCTGCATATATTCTCCCCTTCAATAAAGAGAAACAATAGCATGGATTATCATTTCCTGTGGCGGCAGAAAACAATGAGACATGGCTGCAAACTACGAGCGCAATTCACACAGAATAATTGAGCTGGCATACTGTAAATGATGAATGTAAAGTGTAATTGGAAAAACAGCTATAATACATCGATAAAATCAGATGTTCTATAAAAAGACCAAATATCATTTGCGCATGATTTGTGATGAATAAAAATCCTTACTTGCTTTGTCTTCATGATAGTCCAGCGTTATACAAATGCAAGAACGGTATAATTATAAATAAATGCTACCACTCTGATGTCAATATAGTGATGTCATCAGGCTTATTTACGAGGCACAGCAAAAACCAATAGCTATGTGAAAAATACAGCACTCCGTATTAACCAAAACAGATTTTATATAGTTTTCTTGACTGGATTAAGGTGAAATTTTACTGATTGCTCTAAACTGCTGACATTGTACACAGTCTTAGGATATTACTCTGGCATACAAAACAACACTTTTGTTCACAAGTCTGCAAAGTTGGAGTTGTGAGGAAAAATGAAGGTATCTAGGTAGGTCCCCTCAATAGCCTCACACACCTCCAACACTATGATTCGATGGCACAATATTTCAACAGCGGCCCATTTCCAAGGGCAGTCTGAGTAGTAAAGGTGCAATAAAAAGGCATATCCTCTTGTTCCCTTGAGAATCTCATGTATGATTCCAACCCAATCCCCTCAATGCCTTAGAGGAGTCCAGGCGGTTGGATCCGTCATATATACTATATATGGTGGGATTGCCCAAAAGTGTGAAGATTATGGACTAGAGTTACTAACTGCTTTACATAGTTACAGATAAATCATTTTGGAAGGGCCCTTATGCTCTGACAACCTGAAGAATGCACCAATATCCAATTCAGGTTTGTTATTCACATTCTCAGCAAAGAGGGTAACAGCAAGAGCCTTGAAAACCACAACTTTTCCATTGGCTGAAGTCAAGCACCGAGTCCCCCAGGTAATGATCTTTGAAAAATTACCACCCACCACAATGATAAGATGGATACGTGTTGGAAAAAATGGGAACCATGGATTGAGTCCTACATATCACACTATTCCAATCCAAAGTCACTGCTTTTCTAAGAGGGTGGAAGCAAGAGGCTTCTGCATATTTAGAACTATTGTACTCCTCCTCCCCCTTTCCCTCTTACTTCTCCTTTACCCCCTTTTTTTTCCCCCCTATCAACCCTTGCTGAGAGTAAGGGGGTCTCGTACTGGACTGGAAGTCTTCTGAGCCTTTGTCCTCCTGTCTTAGGTTGCATTATATATCCGTTCCTTCACCTCCTAGATTTTATTCAATTTATGTTATTCCTGTCTGTACATCACGGACCACTTTCATTTTGATTGCAAAATGCTTTGTTAAGCCACTTACAGGAGCATATTAATACTTTCTGTTCTGTACTGTTATGCTTGTTAAATCAAATTCTGAAAATGTAATAAAAACGTACTAAATGAAAAAAAAAGCCTTATCCACTGAATATCTAATTATGCAGGCAAAACACATAATGTACAAGAACATGAAAAAGATATGTATAGTAAAATATGTGCTATTATGGCACCGGAGGATTTGAGTAGTACAATTTGGGTAGTCTTACAGGGGTGTAGAAAATGCTGATTTTTAGGGAGGATGAGTGACTTTTTATTCCAATCAACAGGCTGAACATGAGAGGCTACACTGAAGAGGATGCAAGCTGAGAACGCAAGACACAGACCAGTAAATTATTTCTCATGTAAATTTATCCCTTTGGCTGGAGGTTTAGCATTAAAAAAGAGAAAAGTAGGCAATGGTTTAAAAAATTGTTCTTGAAATGTAAAACTTTATTGAAGCCAGAAAATATCGCTTTCACTATGCTTCTGTTGTTTCAACAGGAAATTTGTTGTTCTCCTACATACAAGCCGCCCTGTTGTTCCCCACCTAATCTCCTCTTGTCCAATCACAAAACACTTTGAGGAGATTTACTAAAACTGGAGCACTCAGAATCTGGTGCAGCTGTGCATGGCAGCCAATCAGCTTCTAATTTATTTAATTAAGCTTTGACAATAAAACTTGGAAGCTGATTGGTTTCTTTGCAGAGCTACATCAGATATTGCATTCTACAGTTTTAGTAAATCTCTCTCTCTGTATTCTGTGAACCCATTCAAGGGGCATATGATTTTACATAGAATCTTGCTGGCAGTAACATTGTACACATGTATTGTTTGTACTAACATTTATGTATATGTGTGCAGTGTATAGCGCAGATGTACCCTAATGGCCCTATTGGTTACTAGGATGCAATTGTCTCCTGTCAAATAGCACACCTAGTTGCTAGGTTGCAGGCAGCTTGTGCATGCTAGCTCCTTGGTTGTTAGGACACAGATGGCTCCTGCCGTCTAGTATCCTTGGTGTGTTAGGAAGCAGGCAGCGCCTGCCTGCTTTATGTTGTGGACCAATATACAGACCAGTGTGCATAGCCCCACATAATGCAATAATGCTCCATTTGGATCTACAAAAATTATAGATCGGAATGCAAATTCTTGTATGCCTGTGTGCACGTGCTCCTAAAGAGAACACAAACTCTGGAAACTCCAGAAAAAAAGAAGCAGAGAGCAAATGACTTCTCACCAGTATTACCTGTGGTTTCCCTGCAGTTGATCTTTTCCCCATTTCTGACTGACCATGCCTAGCATCAAGGTGAGCATCTTGGTAGAGGAATAAGGCTTGTTTTCTAATGTTAGAGATTCCCTTAACTATCAATCTGATGACTGGCGGGGTAAAAGTTCAAGAAACAGCAGGAGAGGTGATCAAGCAGGGAGTTACTTGCAGTACAGATTCCTCTCCAGCAAGCAGCTCAGTTGTGACATTATCAAACCTCATTCCAAATCTACTACGACTAGCAGCCATGGGCAGCAGTACCGCTCACACTGCAAATTAACAGCTATGAGGCTGCAGGTACAAGAGTGCCTAAACATACCCACATACCAGGAGCTGCAGGAATGCAATAGAAAAATTCAAACTTTCAGGATACGGCTTTTAAATCCAAAATAAAAAAATGTAATATATTCCAGTTACTAGTCCTTGGTATGGTGGCTATATTCGTTTTTCTTTTTTAAAGCTTCCTTTGCTTTATTTTCACCTGGTAATCCTGTGAATATTACACCTGCTCTACAAATATGGAATACAAACATGTCCTGTGAATGCAATGAATGTTGCGGCTGTGTGGAGCCCCACACAGCCATGCTGTTTTTAGGAAGTGACAGCAGGTGTGGGAAGAAAAACCCTTGCCTGCTGTCACAAAGGGGGGGGGGGGGCAGAAGCTGGAACATATTAAAGGATCAGTTCACCTTTGGAGCATGTTACATGTTTCACTCGTATTTAGGGTTGAGCATGTCATAATTGCACAGTTAAAGAAATTGTAAATCTAAGATATGAAATATGAACAAAGCATATCCCTCTATAGTTTGTACTAGTTTGTCTACGTTTTTTCCCTAACCCAAAGTGAGCATCCACTTTCTGCACTAACCATAAGTGAAGCTTTTTACCTCCACTTAACCTTAGTGAGCTCTGCACTTCTTTTTATTTATCCTTATTGAGCCCCCTGCTCTTCTCCATTTATCAATAGTGAGCCCCATCCTCTGCATTTACCTTACACAAGCCCCAATCCATACACTTACCATTAAAGTGGTTGTAAACCTCAGATATGAAATATGATCAAAGCATATCCTTCTACAGTGTGTACGTATCTCAATTCAGAGCACTAATTGTCATTTCTGTCTGCTGCCTCATCCCTCTGCTATCACCATGAATCCCTTCTGACAAGTTTTCCTGACACCAAGAGAAAAATGGAGACAGGCAAGGGACCTCCAGCAGATTGACAACCTCCGCTCTGTTCCTATGTGCTATGTGAAGGGGGGGGGGGGGTGTCCCTTCCCTCTAATCAGCTCTTAGAGTTCTCCTCACTGAGCTCTGCAGTGTGTAATTTCATTTCTCCACCTCTTTTTTTCTGAACTCTTGAACGGATGTAGCGAAGAGGAGACTGCAGGTACAACTTAAATAGGAGGACTTGTTTCATCTCTGTGTATCACCTGAGGCCAGTCATTTTACTGGGTATATGTAAGGGTTTACAACCACTTCAAAGTGGTTGTAAAAAGCTCAAGGTTTTTTACCTTCATGCATTCTATGCATAAAGGTTAAAACCCTTCTGTGTGCAGCAGCTCCCCTCTAAAACTTACATGGGCCCCTTTGTGATCCAGCAATGTGAACAAACGCCTCGGTTCTCCAGGGACTCTCCCTCCTCTTTGACTGAGACAATAACAGGTGTAATTGGCTCCCACTGATGTCAATCACAGTCAGTGAGCCAATGGACACACAGAGCGGTGGCACGGGGCAAGCCTGCTTGGGTGCCGCCATAGCAATCTATTCATCAGGAGGGAAGGTCCAGTAGCGCCAGCAGGGGACCCAAGAAGAGGAGGATAGGGGTGAGTCTGTGCAAAACCATTACACAGAGCAGGTAAGTATAACATGTTTGTGGTTTTTTTTTTAATTGCTTTTAATATCACTTTAAGGTTGCAAGTTGTTACAGCAAATCCTGATTTATTGAATTCTGGACCATTTTAAAAGGACAGTAAGAATAGTGCCTTACATTCACTTAGTCTTAAACTGACAATTTCATAATTATATGCATCAATGGCAATCTGTTTAAAGGTAAAAAGACAAAAGAAGTATCAAAAACCTGTATAGGATTCCTGTGCACATGCCACATCTGGTGCTTGACATTATTTGGACTGCAACTTGAATGAAATAGGGAAATGGGAAAGCTGACACTTATAAGGTACATTTGACAACCCCAAAGCCAATTCCAAAAATGATTCTATCTGACTGATCTGATTCCAATAATATTTTGATGGAAATACTTTTCTTTTTATCTAATCTCTTAGCTCTCTTTCAAGCTTGGCAATCATGCACCAAGTTAACTGCTACCCACGGTGGCACAAAGTCACTCAATTTCTAGCAACAACCATGTCCGAGAATAAGAACCATCATTGCCACTAAAGCAGCTATATTTTAGATGAAAACCTCAGACTATTAAATGTCAAGGCCAGCTTACTTTTTCAAATGCGCACTGCAATTCACACAGAGGCCCCAAAGGCAATATTCATGCCAAATGGCAGTTGTGTCATTCCTCATAATGAATAACAATTTATAGAGAATGGATTCCGACATATTACTTATTCAACACTTCCAATGTGTTTTTTTTGTTGTTTGTTTATTGAGGTTAAACCTCTTGAGCTTAGTTTATTTATTTATTTTCCTATTGTTGTTGGGTTGGTTTTTTTTTAACTTTTTTTTAACTCTTGGCTTTTAATGTTAGATCAAGGCTTCTTTCTTTGTTTTGGTAAACTACGGGCCACGGCACAGAAAGTCTTAAGTTATTCTTCCACAAGGATTTAATAGCTATTGAGTAGATTTTCCACTCTGTCAAAAGCAGTCAACAAGACTAATTTATCGTGAATGGCAAAGACGCACAAAGGTGAAATTTTTCTTCCTCTGTCTTATGTATAAATATTTTGTTTTGCTTCTTTTGTTAAGGCATTTGGATTGTAGATTGGGAACCTTTGTGCTTTTCTACGTGCTGCATTGTGTGCAACAATTTTACAAAAATATAAACTGCAAGAAACAATTATACTGTAAATGCTTTTAGTTAGAATAAGACTGAGTAATATAAACACACGTCTTTGGATTGATATGTTAATTTTTAAACTATTATTCCTATGTATGGGAAAAATATTTGAAAAAAATTAAAGGAACACTTTTTAAACAGAGTATAGCATCAAGTCAATTAAACTCCTGGGATATTGATCTGGTAGTAGCATCAAGTCAATTAAACTCCTGGGATATTGATCTGGTCAGTTAAGTAGCAGAGGGGGTTGTTAATCAGTTTCTGCTGCTTTGGTGTTAATGGAATTAACAACAGGTGCACTAGATGGGCAACAATGAGACAACCCTTAAAACAGGAATGGTTTTACAGGTGTAGGCCACTGACATTTTGATCCCTACTCATTTTTTCTAATTGTTTTTCACTAGTTTTGTATTTGGCTAGGGTCAGTGTCACTACTGGTAGTATGAGGCGATACCTGGACCCTACTGAGGTTGAACAGGCAGTCCAACCCCTCCAGGATGGCACATCAATACGTGCCATTGCCAGAAAGTTTGCTGTGTCTCCCAGCACAGTCTTGAGCATGGAGGAGATTTCAGGATACAGCCAGGTACTCTAGGAGAGCTGGATAGGGCCGTAGAAGGTCCTTAACCCATCAGCAGGATTGTTATCTGCTCCTTTGTGCAAGGAGGAAAAGGATGAGCTCTGCCAGAGCCCTACAAAATTACCTCCCAGCAGGCCACTAGTGTGAATGTCTCTGACCAAACAATCAGAAAGAGACTTCATGAGGCTGGCCTGAGGGCCCAACATCCTCTAGTGGGCCCTGTGTTCACTGCCCGGCACCTTAGAGCTTGGTTGGCATTTGCCATTGAACACCAGAATTCACAGGTCTGCCACTGGTGCCATGTGCTTTTCACAGATGAGAGCAGGTTCACCCTGGACACATGTGGCAGTCGTCAAGGGGTCTGGAGAAGCCATGGAGAATGTTATGCTTCCTGTAACATCGTTCAGCATGACCATTTTTGGTGATGGGTCATTGATGGTCTGGGGAGGCATATCAATGGAGGGACACACAGACCTCTAAAGGCTAGACAATGGCATCCTGACTGCCATTAGATATCAGGATGAAATCCTTGGACCTAATGTCAGAACCTACACTGGTGCAATGGGTCCTAGGTTCCTCCTGGTGCACAACAATGCCTCATGTGGTGCGAGTATGCAGGCAGTTCCTGGAGGATGAGGAATTGATACCTTTGAATGGTCCCCACGCTCACCTGACCTGAATCCAATAGAACACCTCTGGGATATCATGTTTTGGGACATCTGACACTGCCAGGTTGCACCTCAGACTGTCCAGGTGCTCAGTGATGCCCTGGTCCAGATCTGGAAGGAAATACCCCAGGACACCATCCGTAATCTTATTAGAAGCATACCCCGATGTTGTCAGGCATGCATACAAGCATGTGGGGGCCATACAAACTACTGAGTACCATTTTAAGTTGCTGCAATGAAATTTCAGCAAAATGGACAAGCCTGCTGCATCATGTTTTCACTTTGATTTTCAGGGTGTCTTTAAATTCAGTCCTCTGTAGGTTGATCATTTTCATTTCCATAAAACAATGGAGCATCCTTACATTCCTAACACATTATCCAATCCACATCAGTATAGATATCCAGCATGATATTTTTTCCCCATTGAGATCTGATGTGTTTTCAAATTGTTCCTTTAATTTTTTTGAGCAGTGTAGATCATTCTACTATTTGTTCATGAGGATTATACAGTATGCTCTCCGGCCACTTTATCAGGTACACCGGTTCAATTGCTTTGTAACACAAATTGCTAATCAGTTAATCACATGGCAGCAACTCAATGCATTTAGGCATCTATATGGGCTACAGAAACAGAAGACCACACTGGGTGCCACTCCTGTCAGCTAAGAACAGGAAACAGAGGCAACGATTCACACAGGCTCACCAAAATTGGACAATACAAGATTGGAAAAACATTGCCTATTCTGATGAGTCTTGATTTCAGCTGCGACATTCAGATGGTAGGGTCAGACGTTTGCTTAAGCAAAATGAAAACATGGGTCCATCCTGCATTGTATCAACAGTTCAGGCTGGTGGTGGTGTAATGGTGTGTGGAATATTTTCTTGCCACACTTTGGGCCCCTTAGTACCAACTGAGGATTGTTTAAATGCCACAGTGTACCTGAGTATTGTTGCTGACCATGTCCATCCTTTTATGACCACAGTGTACCCATCTTCTGATGGCTACTTCCAGCAGGATAATGCACCATGTCACAAATCATCTCAAACTGGTTTCTTGAACATGACTATGAGCTCACTGTACTCCAATGGCCTCCATAGTCACCAGATCTCAATCCAATACAGCACCTTTGGGATGTGGTGGAAACGGAGATTCGCATCATGGATGTGCAGCCAACAAACCTGCAGCAATTGCATGATGCTTTCATGTCAATATGGACCAAAATCTCTGAGGAATGTTTAAAACACCTTGTTGAATCTATACCACCAAAGAATTATGGCAGTTCTAAAGGCAAAAGGGGGCCAACTCCGGTACTAGCAAGGAGTACCTAATAAAGTGGTATCGTTTCCTGTCTGGTTCAAACACCCATCGCCACAATTTAGATGGGGCAACCTCCTGTTCATTACACATGGTGGGTGCTATTTATAAAAATTAGATATCTTGAAGCCTGGCTCACATATTAAGGGACACCACCACTTATATCTGGCCATCAGTGTTGGGTAGAATTTGCATGAGCTTACCAGCAGACATCACACAAGATAAAGTTAACCAATCATCTACAAATTGTACTTAGGGCAGCAATTTTTCATTTCACAGGTGCCAGACTTGATACACAAACTACTACCTCCCTGCAGAAATATACAAGCTGTGTTCAAGTCAAACCAGGACTTTTAATTTTACAGGTATACAAAGGGATGATAGTGTGGCGGTACTACATACAGTAGTAAGTGGCAAGTGTATCCTATTACTGATAGGCAGCACACATGTTGCAGGCCAGTCCAGAGACCATTAATCAAGATAGCAGACAACAGCATTAGTGCATACATGGAAAAGCATGTAGTAATGAAGTTTCTTGTGAACAAATGCATAGACTTCAAGCACAGTACTGTGATGTGAAGATCAGCTGTAGTAAGACATTTGAATTGTGTAAATGTTTCAAAGATGGCCGTACATCCATCAGTTATGATCCCAGCCATGGTGGTTCTTGGCCCACAGCAGGCATTCCTGTGAACATTCAGTGCGTAGAATGCCTGATCCTGGAAATTCTATGCATAACTTGTAATGAAATTGTGCAAGAGACAAATGTTTCTGGGGGAATGGTAAACACAATGATGACTAAGTGAAGCAGGCTATCCTAGAATGGTTCGGGGAGTACTGACAAATCAAAGCTTTCTAGGCGTTAGTTAAGTGTATAAATGTTAAGTGTATAAATGCAGTGGAGTATGTAAAAAAATAAATGCAGTTTCCACACCTTGCAATTTGTTCTTTTTTATATAAACTCACAAGTCCCATTTTGATATGAACCCCCTTGTACAAACCAATGTCCAGGTCACATAACGCTGCATTCTTTAGTTTTAATCTCAACATTTATTTAAAGTTCATAATGGCTCCTCTTACATTGTCACTCCTGATGGACATGATGGGTTTACTCCTCAGCCAGGGCTTAATCACCCTATGATTAAGAACTAACAGAGAGTGACATGCATCAATGAGGAGTCATGTCTGGCAGAAGTTACAATGTAAGAAGAGCCATGTAAGCATATTGAATAAAGCTTGTTGAGACTGAGAAGAAGAAGAAGAAGAAAAAAAAAAGCGGTGTTCAACCTGGACATATGTCCATCTATAAGAGAAGCCAACGTATTTCGGTTTGTAAGCAATCACACCAAATTAAAACATGCATTTTGGACATATTTGTCCTTCAAATAAAAAAAAGTTGATGCTACAACAATTCTTTTCTATGAAACTTCTTTTGTGATAATAAAAAGCTATGGATTGGCTGCAAAGGCAAACTGTGTTGTGTGTCATCTTTTGACACAGATGAAGACTAGTTGTGACTGTCTCCTCCACACTCCCTGAGCATTCAGTTAATCAGATTTACAGGGCATGATGGTGCTACTGGTTTATCAGAGCATACAGAGCAAATGAGATACATGAGAAGCAGATCATTTAGGAGAGTTTAATAGACTTCCTACCCTCTCTCACAATTATCTTCATCACTCCCATCCACGCAGTCATGGACTCCATCACACAGCCACCTGATTGGGATACAGTACGCTCTGTTCCTGCAGCGGAACTGGTTCTCTTTACATTCCATTACACAGTCCAGCTGTATTAAAGGAAAAAAAAACACTCATTAATCATCTTGATATGTGAAACAATCTAAACAAGATAGAATCACAAAGGTGTTGTTTTTACCTTGGTAACATTTTTCATATACAGCTGGACATCAAGCAAAAGCTAAATACACAAATTAAATACATATTTTGAAGCTATTTTAGTTTCTAAAGGATATGTCATTTTGTCTGGCCATTCATGATATTCTCAACTTTCCAGGCAGCGCAAGCAGGTGACCTGGCTCTTTTCTATGGCAGTTAAGTACTACAGATTGGCCATTTCTCTTTCCCTGTGAGTGGACAGTAAAGGATGGACAACCAGCAGGGGGATGACTGCACACCATTGTTGCTAAAATCCACAAGTTTATTGAAAAAATCTTTAAAAACTCCAAATAGCATGACACACAGCAAGAGCGACTGTTTATGTGTTTCAGGCCAATGGGTGCTTAATCACAAGATTAAGCACACATTGATGTGAAATGTGTCAACATATGATCTTGCTGTATAAAATGCTATTTGGACTTTTTTGATTTTTTTTTTTCAATAAACATATGAATCTTAGCAACAATGATGTGCAGTCATCCACCTATTAATTGTTCTTGTTCTGCAGTATGTGTCAGATCGGCACCTGTGCTTTTGGGGTTAACCCTTTGAGGACCAAGGGACGTATTTGTCCCATGTTTGTAATTGCATGTATTATCTGATTAAGAGCTTAAAACTCTTTTTTTTTTTGGTTTGAGTCAAAATATTAGTTCTTATCAACAAACAACAAATGGATCTAGCTTTTTGCCAATTATTTCATGAAATGGCTTAGTTACAGCAACTGAAGTGTACAAACTTTAAAAACAAAAAAATTGATTCTCTTTTGGTCGTTCCAAAACCTTACGGTCCTCAAAGGGTTAAACAGAAGTGGACCAACCTGGTGCAATGTATAGCATTCTGGACAATAAAGTAATCCCTCTGCTCTTATTTCCATTACACATAGATAGGAAGGTTGGGGAAATGGGGTCCCTTTCAGGTTTTTCCCATCCCTTTTTTTCAACTAGTCTGGGCTATCTACACCTGCCTTATGTTTGGTTAATATTTAATGGAGGTGGGGTTAGCAGAAAGTTGAGAGCCGTTTCCAGCGAGGGTATACAGAGCAGGGGAGTCAGATTTTCCTCTGAGAGGGCACCCCCCTATGCATGAGCCTAGTAATTCAATTGACAGAGGACAAAAGCACCTTAGCTTGGGACATTATTGAGTACCTAATCCATGGTGAGGAGTTTATTCCAAGCATGCTCACTGTCCATATCTTTGGAATAGCTTTTGAGAAGCTGACAGTTCTTATTTTAAGAAAATGTGCTGATTACTATCGTTTATTTGAACTTTATAAATATTCTTTTATTGAAGTACAATGAAAAAGACAAGTTTATCCAACTTTTCAAAGGACAAGGGCTCAAAGTTAATGGGTATTAGCCAAAACTAATGGTACCGAAATCCTAATACAAAGCTACAAAATGTAAAGAAACAACAGGGGCAACAGTATTTTCATGGTATCAACAAAGACACAACATCAACTGATGGTTCAAACCATGGTATTATAAAAGAATATTATTATTTAAAACAGAGACAATAATTAAAAAGTCCCTCCTACTAGGCCAAATTACAATCACACCCTTGGCTGCATTACAATCACAGCAAAAAGACTGGCTGACTAAAGACTCCCCTCTACTATGGAATAACAGCTTTTTAGTGTGAGACAGCACCAAGGAAGGATGTGATTGTAATGCAGCCTAGTAATAGGAACTTTTAATTATTGTCTCTGTTTTAAAATATAATATTCTTTTGTAATAAAATTATGTGGTTTTTAACCATCAATTGATGTCCCAGAGCTGTCACATGTTCCATCATACCTGGAAGTACTGGATATTTCCTTTGTTTTCCAGTGATGAACAGATTAATGGTAGAGGGGGAAGGGAGCATTTAAAGCAAACCTGTAGCTTTGCTCTGAATAGACATAGCATGGGGTTGCTTTAGTGATAAATTAGATGACAAACTTCATTCAACTTTTTTGGATGGGATAAAATTTTTATTCTTTTTATTGTACTAAACTGGACTATAATCCATCCAGTGTCTGTGAAGAAATTTTAGAAGACCTTGTTCAATTACCATTGTTTTTTTCTATTCCAGGATTGCTGTGTGTGATTCCTTCAACCCCTTCTATTTCCAAAAAGAGGAAATGTAACACTTATAGATAGGCATAGGTATCCATCACTCACCTCATCTGAGCCATCTGCACAATCATATTCACCATTACACCTCAGGTAGGCCGAGATGCAACCCCCACTGTTGCAGACATACTCGCTGGAAGAACAGGTTGGTGAAGCTGTTAAAAAAAGAACTGACATTAGAAATGTCCATCACATAATTAACAAATAACCCTAACTGTTCCCAAGGCCCATAAAGAATTAGTAATTATCAATAAAAAAAAGAAGATTTGAGACCTTCTTTGTAGAATGCTTTGATGCTAATAGACTCTTGATTGATGCTGTTTCTCTGTTACTTTCATGACATGTTAACGCTGCTGTGTAACTGGAAGTAATGAAGCGCACAGCCTTGTTTTCCCGCTGGATGGTTTTTATTGAATACATTATCATATATACCCCCATGTGAGTGCAATATTTTACTATTAAACTGGTTTTTATTAAGATTTACACTATGTGGAACATGTTTATTTTCCCTGAGAGTCAGCTGAAGTGTGGGTGTGGACTTAAGAAGCCTTTCAGTGGATTTCTCTCCTTCCTGATGAGATGATTGTTGAACCTGGAAGTGGAAAATTTTGTACCCAGGATACATTCTACACAAGCTCCTTTTGATTTCTCTTGATATAGAGGGTCAAACATAGTTGGTAAGAGTAAATCTGTCCTTGGTTGTGCTGGTAATCATGAGGATCTTCAAGAAGCACTATTGTCATTTTGAGTTTCAAGGGGACCTATTTTTTCATCTTTTCCACGTGGATATTTTTCTGTTTATATGATTATGCAATTTATTCATGTATGTTTATTGTGGTGTTAATTTTGGCAAAATTGGATTCACATTTTTCCTTCATTGAGATTTTAACGTACATGTATAATATATATATATATATATATATATATATATACACAGTTGCAAGAAGAAGTATGTGAACCCCTTGGGAATATGTGAAGTTTTGCATGAATTGGGCATAAAATGTGCTCTGAACGTCATTTAAGTCACAACAATAGAAGAACACAGTCTGCTGAACATAATACTACAAAAACATTAGATGTTGCCATGGTTTAATTTCACATAACATTAAACATTCACAGTGCAGGGAGGAAAAAGTATGTGAACCTTTGGACTTTATAACTGGTTGACCCTCCTTTGACAGCAATAACCTCAACCAAACGTTTTCTGTACTTGCAGATCAGACCTGCACAATGATCTGGAGTAATTTTGGACCACTCCTCTTCACAAAACTGTTTCAGTGCAGCAATATTCTTGGGATGTCTGGTGTGAATCGCTCTCTTAAGGTCATGCCACAGCATTTCAATCGGGTGGAGGTCAGGACTCTGACTCGGCCACTCCAGAAGGCATATTCTGTGCTGTTGCAGCCATTGTTTTGTTGAATTACTTGTATGCTTTGGGTCATTGTCCTGTTGCATCACCCATCCTCTGCGGAGCTTCAGTTGGCGGACAGATGGTCGTACGTTTTCCTGCAAAATGTCTTGATAAACTCTGGAGTTCATTTTCTCAACAATGACAACAATCTGTCCAGGCCCTGAGGCAGCAAAGCAGCCCCAAACCATGATGCTCCCTCCACCATGTTTTACAGTGGGGATGAGGTTTTGATGTTGGTGTGCTGTGCCTTTTTTTTCTCCACACGTAGTGTTGTGTTCTTCTCAAACAACTCAATCTTGGTTTCATCTGTCCACAGTATATTTTGCCAGTAGTGCTGTGGAACATCCAGGTGCTCTTTTGCAAACTTCAAACGTGCTGCAATATTCTTTTTAGACAGCAATGGCTTCCTCCGTGGTGTCCTCTCATGTACTCCATTCTTGTTTAATGTTTTCCTTATTGTAGATGTGTCAACAAAAATGTTAGCATGTGCCAGAGATTTCTGTAGGTCTTTAGATGACACTCTGGGATTCTTCTTTACCTCATGCAGCATTCTGCGCTGTGCTCTTGCAGTCATTTTTACAGGACGACCACGCCTAGGGAGAGTAGCAACAGTGCTAAACTTTCTCCATTTGTAGACAGTCTGTCTTACCGTGGACACATGAACATCAAGGCTTTTGGAGATACTTTTGTAACCCTTCCCAGCTTCTTGCAAGTCAACAATTCTTGATCGTAGGTCTTCTGAGCTCTTTTCTGCGAGGCATGGTTCACATCAGACAGTGCTTCTTGAAACCAGTAAACCCAAAACAGGTGTGTGTTTTTTAAGGGCAGGACAGCTGTCAGCAACACATCCAATATCATCCCACTGATTGGAGTCAAGGTTGGCTCACTCCTGGCTCCAATTAGCTCTGGGAGAAGTCATTAAGCTAGGGCCTCACATACTTTTTCCTCCCTGCACTGTGAATGTTTACATGTTATGTGCAATTAAACCATGGCAACATCTAATGTTTGTGTAGTATTATGTTCAGCAGACTGTGTTCTACTATTGTTGTGACTTAAATGACGTTCAGAGCACATTTTATGCCCAATTCATGCAAAACTCCACGTAATCCCAAGGGGTTCACATACTTTTTATTGCAACTGTATATAGTGGCAGAGCGTCCCAAAGGAACCCTGGGAAAGTCCTGTTTGGGGCTTATAGATCTCCCAGGTTCCTGACCTATACCTTTATGCATCTCTGATGTGAGATCCAGTTCAGGATGTACCTATATCTGTAGGTAATTAAATTCACCTGGGACCTGTAGCCAGAGCTCTCAGCCTGTGGATAAGACAAGTTCTGTCTGTAGATCTGAAAGGTTGGTGGAAACTAGCTGTGTATGTTGTGGCTGATAAGTGGTAGGCTTGCCCTGTTTATTTTGGTTAAACACTGTACAGCACTTTGTATATAGTTTTGTAAACAGCACTAATAAACACCTTCCCTGTTTGCCACTAAACTCACTGGATTTGGTATCTGTGCCTGAAGGACTGCTTACCCCAGGAGGCATCCCCAGCTCACAATATATATATATGTATATATGTGTGGTTTTCACTTTATTTAGTTTAAGTAGTTTTCACAATTTTTCATTTCTCGTATAGCGTAACAGATAATTACTAATAACAAGGTCCGATGAATTGGATGCCACTGACTAGTGAGGGTGCAGGCTGGGGAAAGGTTCTTCCAGACCCAAAGCAAGCTGTAGAAATAGGAAGAGATAGTCCAGCCACCACACACCTTGACCAGGCTTCAGTGGTTAACAGATAAAAGCAGCCTCAGCTCAATTTATCCAAGCCATGCCTCCAACATGTTTTGCCACTGGGGATGGATTTCTACAACCGTTTGGTGAAGGCTCTTCAGTTACAGCAATAATGTGCCCTGTACACAAGAGCAGGTTCATGGTTTGATGAGTTTGGCGTAGAATAATTCAAGTGGCCTACAAAGAGCCCTGACCTTAACCTTACTGAACACCTTTAGGATTAAATGAAATTCCAGTTGTGAGCCAGGTCTTCTTGTCTAACATCAGTGCCTGACACGTTAAATACTCTTTTGACAGTTCCTACAGACAACATCCAAAACCTTGCAGAGAGCCTTCCCAGAAGGGTGAAGCTTGTTATCGTTGCAGAGTAGGGGAGGGGGAGGCAACTCCTTATTAATGTTCATGATTTTTATAAAAAACTTAGCAAGTAAAATCTAAAGGCATTTAAAGGAAGCACATTATTTTTTTAAACAAGATGACTGGTAAGAGGTATTTCTTTTAATTAGTGGTATTGTAGTTATAAGTACAGCTGTGAAAGGAGTGATGTCCGAGAGGTGCTTCATACCCGAGAAGCCTGTCTATCTGCTGGTATATTTATAAATACTCAGATGCTCCTATTATCCATAAGGATGTCACTAATGTGACATTTCTGTGATACAAAGGTGAGAGACGTCTTTTTGGGTAACTGCAAATTAGACCCTTCCTAAAATTATACTTTAAATTACTGGGAAAATGTATGATGATTATTCAAGTGACTTAATTAGTGCTTCCAGTGTTTCTCTATAGATATTTAGTACAAAAGCTGGCTAATTGAATATTAATTGACTGGATCACATTCAGCAGGTTTATTGTAGAAGAAGGGCCTGATAAATGTAGTTAATAAAGAGAAAGGAGATTTCCAGTCTAGGAAAATCACCAAGAGCCTCAAAGCAAATACTCAATTGTTAATGCAGAAGTTTAGTTTAGAAAGGAAAATCAATAGCCCCAGACATGTAAAAATAAATAAAGCAATTTCACTGCAATGTTCACAAACTTACATTGCAAGACTCACACAATACTCACTTACTAAAGCCCACCCCCCAATGTTTATCTTTAATGTTACTATATGCAGCCATTCTACTGAATCCAATGATGCTCTGTATTATTTAACCCACCTCCAGTGGTCATGAACCCACCTTCAGCCTGGGCTCATGGTACTACAGCACAAAAACAAAGAAGGGGGGTAACTAAGAATACATGGAGGAGAGAGGGGGGCACAAAAGGTAACTTAAGAGCAGGTAAGGGGGCTCTCTAGAGGAGAAGAGGAAGCAACTAACGATAAGAGGAAATAAGAAGGGTTTGCTAAGAGTAGGTGTAAGGAAAGGGGCTTATGTAGGTTAAGTTGAGAGAAAAGGGGGCTCAATAAAGTGGTTGTATACCCTTACATATACCCAGTGAAGTGACTAGCCTCAGGTGATACACAGAGATGAAACAAATCATCCTACATATGTTGTATCTGTTTATCTACAGCAGTCGTTCCCCATATCCATTCAAAATGCAGAATTTATAGAGAATCTCTAAGTTCTGAAAAGCAGAGGATGGGGAGATGAACTTACACTCAGTGAGGAGAGCTCTGAGAGCTAATTGGAGGGAAGGAACACACCCCACGTCACACAGCACATAGGAACAGTGCTGAGGCTGTCACCCTGCTAGAAGTCCCTCCCCTATCACCATTTTTCTCTTGGTGTTAGGAAAACTTGTCAGAAGTGATTCATGCTGATAGCAGAGGAGCGACGAAGCAAACAGAAATGGCACTTACTCTGGACTCAGATAAGTACACACTATAGAGGGATATGCTTTGTTCATATTTCATGTCTGAGGTTCACCACCACTTTAAGATTAACTGTATAGATAGGGGCTTGTGTAGGGTAAGTGGAGAAGATCGGGCTCACTATTGGTAAATGGAGAAGAGTAGGAGGCTCACTATGGGGAAATAAAGAGAAATGCAGGGCTCACTAAGGATAAAAGGAGATAAAGGGCTTCAATTATGGTTTGTGAGGAAGGAGGACACCCACTTTGGGTTGGGACACTATAAATTCCCTTACTCATTCAATAAGGCATGTCAGACTGAAATGAAACAATAAGCTGGATTGACTGGAATCAATCTGAAGGGGCCACATTACATCTACCAAAGGGACATTTGTAATAGGCTTTCAACAGTAGAATTACAAGGGGAGTGTAGCCTTTATACACTGGGCCCTTGTGTAGTATGCAATTTAAACAGACTGAGGACCACAGAGAAGGAGTAAGACAGCCAACTGTGGCTCAGGAAATAGCTGTCTGACATTTAGTTTTTAAGGCATTATAATGTAAAGTAAGCCTTCTCACCATTGCGTCACAAATCAGGTACATTATTCTATGTAGAGAATGCACCAATATGTGGACTGCAGAAATGTTTTCAATAACCACAAAAAAAAAAATCTATAACTTTAAAGATGTACACTTAACATTTAAATCTGTGGGCTATGAGAATGAAATTGTTTTCAAAATATTCAAAAATAATTTTCTAACCAGAACAATCCAAAAGTGTCCTTGAAAAAGCTCATAAAACTTGCATTGCAACTCAAGATTTCTGCAATCCAGGTAAAGGCTATTTCACGGGAATCTCACTTTGCAAAACTATTTTGATTGCAAGGTAATACTTACAAAATAGGCTAAAAAATATAATGTTTTTTATAACAAATCTCTGGTTCAGTACAAGCATTTGAGTCAAATGAATATTTTGCTGAATGTCTTCAAGTTGGTACATTTAATTTGTTTTTACATTCCTTATCTGAGAGATGTGTGTAGCGCCCTGCTAGTTTAGGTAGGAGGAGCTAGACCCTAATGGCTAGAGGGGAGCTGATTAGCAGCTCAGGTGAGATAGTAAGAGGGGTAAAATTCTGGTCAGGACTGAGAGACTCTGCAGGTTAGCTCCTCTGGAATGTCCCCCTGCTCTGAGGCTTTCGGTGGAAGGCCTTGGAGGTAGTCCATTTGAGGAGTGGTTGGCTGCACTTTTGAGGGACCTTAGCCAATACCCAACAGAAGGCTTGGCAAGGGGCTGGAATCCTTTAAAAGTGTTGTACCTTGCTCAGTAGCAGGAGTGTGGCAGTGGGAGAGGAGTGAGAAGCAGGAAGATGTGAGGCTTGAGGAAGAAGGCTGCCAGGAGGCCTAGTGGGATGGGGCCTGTCTGTGAACCTGGAGCTAAAAAGGAGGAAAACTCAGGAGCCAGATGCCCTGCTCAGGAAGAATGCCTCCAGATTGCTGGGTGAAACAGAGTTTAAGGTAGTACAACTGGAGCTGCTGGCTAGCACTCCAACAGATTCTGTGTGTCAGAGAGAAGAAGTTGTGAATAGTTCAGGAAGTTGCCCTCATACTACAGTTCCCTTGGGCATCCTATACATCCTTAAACCCTATCCATGTATAATCCCCTCAATAAAACAACAAAAGCAACTCTCAAGGCCTGATTTCTGTCTGTGGATAAAAGCTGTGTGGAAAATGCATGCTGTGTGGGACTATAGGGGGACCCAAAATTCATCAGCAATCCCTAAGGGGGTAGTGCTACATGTGCATGCCTTGGGCTAAATAGAAACTTACTGTTAAAGTGGTTGTAAACCCTTACATATACCCAGTGAAGTGACTGAACTCAGGTGATACCTCTTTATTTGCAGCCATTTGTTCTGTACGTCCTTGTAAAACTCAGAGATGAAAATGATTTTTTACAGATTCACACAGCAGGAGGTGGGGAGCTGCAGTTACACACTATACAAGAGCTTTGAGAGCTGATCCGAGGGAAGGGTCACACAGCCCTTTACACAGCACACAGGAAAAGAGCTGAGGCTGTCAATCACAGGCTGTGTGCTGTATCTCCCTCCCCATAACCATTTTTAGCTCTTGGTGTCAGCAAAACGTGTCAGAAGTGACTCATGCTGATAACAGAAACTCTAGACTGTAGAGAGAACTGACACTTAGTGCTTTGGAGAGAAGTAAGTAAACACATAGAAATATGTGCTTTGTTCAGGTTTCATGCTAAAGGTTTAAAACCACTTTAAAGAAGAATCTGCTGTTCAAAGTGTTTGTCTTGGCTAGATAAAAGTAAAATAAAGAAAACATATTTAGTACATCTCTGCAATGTATAAACTTTTTACTGTTTTCCCATTGCAATAATGCTGCCAGTATAAAAAAATACCTATTGTTCCTGCTAGAAATCCCAACTTCCTGCAGTGAGCTGACAACCCTGCCTAAAATGCAAAAAGATTTGTCACCTCTGAAAAAGTTCTTTTGTGCTGACTATTGAACATCTCCCTGTTATCTAATGGTGACAAGGAGAGGAGAAGTATTCCGCAGTCTAGAAGGGGAGAAGTGGGCAGAGTTGACAACTCTATTTTTTACTTCAGTGCTGCACAGGCAGTGTTATTTGGTCCACTACTGGGAGTTAGGAGAATGCTGGATTTTTGGCAAGCTGTCTATTTCTTCCTATTAGGCCGATGACAGTGAGACAAGGATTAGGCTAATAATCTAACTGGACATGGATTCCTACCCCCTCATTCCCCATTGTATCTCATTAAATGAACAGGTTGGGGAAGGCACAGACCAGTTGGGCTATTTCCAATAAGCATTCCAATCCTTCACAGTTTCCAACTCACACAAACATTTTCTTATCTGTAGTTTCAAGCTTCTTTTTAAGGGCTCTATTCAAAAAGTAGTTGTTTGACGGTAGTATGGCTAAACTAAGGATGTTTAAAAGACCTTTTAAAGTCATAAAAAGAGAAGAAGAAAAAGCACCTACTAATAAAAACATAAAAACATAAATGTGCTTTATAAATGTGCATTGCATTTCAATGGCTTCAAGATCTCTAAGCTAGTGGAGCTCACAATAATGCCTCGGTTAGACTAGTGGTTGGAGGGCAGCAAAAATGTGCGCTTGAGTTTTTGCTGCCTGCCAACTGCCCCCCCCCCCAATCTGCAATAGGCAGCAGACAGGGTTGTTTTCACACCGCGGCCACGTTGCTTCACGGCCGTGTTGACCCGACATGGATTGTTCGGAGGGCAGCAAGCCTACCAAATGCTACACGTGCAAGTCAACAGGGAAGCTCCGCAACCATGTGCAATGCACGATGCTGCTGCTACACAATTGTCAGAAATGGGGTTAAAATAGGCGGTGAGGAGGAGTCGCATCTCTTCCTCATCACCTGTCAGTAGCCTCTGGAGCAAGATCCTAATACAGAGGGGGCTTTAAAGGCAAGGAGAATTTAGACGCATGTCTAAATCTAAAGCCTTGTACACATGATGAGATTATTGGACAAATGATTGTCTGTTTTTTTTTTTGCATGCTAGTCTCCATATTGAAAACGAAGAGGTTACTCAACTAACGAGAATTCTCATACAACAGAATAAAATGTAGGAAGTGATATAATGTATTGTTTTGTATTTGTATTGTATTTTCAGATGAAAACTACTGATTAAATGAAAATCATACAATCTGGTTAGGCAGAGAGAACTCCATGTGGTAACCACAGGCTCCATACCATGGCCTATATTTTATAAATGGGCTGTAAATTGTATGTGTAATCTTTCAGAGTATAATGGACAGAGGATTGCAATAACCACTCTCTATTTTACAAGCTCTTAAATGTTTTTTCACTCTTTTAACAGCATTGTGTTTAATGCCTGCCTAAGGATAATGTAAGAAATTCAAGTGTTAGTGTTTTACTTCTCTGACCCAGCATGGGCTTATGTTTAATATTGCCGTCCTCACCCTCTCTTTGGAAATACTGTACTCTATTTAGGAATGAACTCTAAAACAGTCAGCTGTGTTGAAAAGGTTTTTACTCTAGAACCCTTAAATCAATTATTTCAGTACCCGGCTCGCAGTTTTTCTCATCTTCTCCACCTTTGCAATCTTCATGGCCATCACATTTCCACTTCGCTGGTAGGCATTGACCGGTGGAACACTGGAACTGGTCTTTTGAGCAGCCATTCTCACAGTTTCTCTACCCAAACAGACAATGAAAAAGAAGAACTCAGTGACCTAATTTTTAATCCTCAGAGACAGCAAGAACAATGCAATAAAACTGAAAAATGGAACACTGAACTTTATTCTGAAACACAATACATTTTTCTGAGATTTTTTAAAAAGAGAATCTACATTATGCTGCCTATTTTTTTAACTAACAGTGGAGAACTGGTGAAGCAAAAATATGTTAAAAATGTATTTCTGTTGTCTGGAGCATCCAGTGGAGAGAAGTTTCATTTACAATTATTAATACCCAAAAAAAAGAAAAAAAAAAAAAGAAAGAAGCTTGAATGTGGTTCCTATGTACAACATGTATGACCAAGCAATTGACACTGAACTTTCGGATACAATAAGAACCCACTCACATGGGCGTATAAAATTCCAAGTTTAGATGTGTTTTGTGTGCATGAAAAGAAGAAGAATTCCAGTACAGCAAAAAGTGTATCTGCAGAGAGCTCCGCTATTTCTGACAGTTCTCTGACAGTTCCTTCACATTTACAGCGGTTGAAACATTGTATCTATTTGTTTCCGAATAAAAACATCTGTATCCTAAATGGAAACAAATAGATACAATGTTTCAACTCCTGTAAATGTGAAGGAACTGTCAGAGAACTGTCAGAAATAGCGGAAAGCTGTAGAAGGGATGAAGAATCGGCCAGATCGGGAAAGAAAATTCGATTCGCGCATCCGAAGTTTTGCTAATATTCGGAATGTTCGAATTTTTCCTTAATATTAGAAAATGAAAGCCGAATTTCGAATCTTGGCTGGTTCAGCAGGGACCAACTGAGATTCAAGCCATTTATGGGCAGGCTGATTGTACCCAAGATGATCAGACGACTTGGGTATATCCAGCCTGTCGGATTTTTACATGCGATTATTGCCAGTCACTATAGCCGCTAGCAATAGTCACTGTATCCCCTGCAAGGAAATCCCCCCTCTCTTTCCCAGGAGAACACAATGGCTCTGTGGGAGGGATTCCCCCATCAAGAATAACTATTTTGATGGGGGAATCAAACTATTTTCTTTTCTGTAACCACAGATGCAGGAAAATGCATCCTCTATGGCCTGCTTTACACAGCACTATAAAAATCAATGGGACCATACAGAGAGTTGCGTCTACAAACGACAATGTGCACCGCATCTAACAAAAGTACCAAAAAAAAGTAGAACACAGCTGAGTCCAATGTTTTATACAGGACCTTCTGTTGGCTCTTCCAGGAAGAACCTGTGTTCCATGTGGAAAATACACATCTGCCCATGTGAATGAAGCCTATGGGTCAGAGATAGTCAGCAATAACCACATGCTCAATAAACCACATCCAAAAAAAATTCAAGATATGAGATAATGATTTAACCCCTCCCCTTAAAAAATTTAATTTGATCAAATTTCACACATTTATCAAAAATCATATTTAATTTGGTTTGGAGGGAGGAGTTAAATCACAGCACCAACCCATATTTTGAATTTATTCTGGATGTGGTTTATTGAACTGATTACTCACAGTAATTTAGTAGCACGTAAATTATTTTTTTAACCTGATACAATTTAACCAGCAGACTTTGATGTTTACATTTTTGGGTACATATCTGGGACTACAATAATTATGTAAAGGTTGGAAGATTTCTGGGAAATACATATTTTTCAAATGCTACACTATTTCTTCCTAAATCAAATATAGAAAAAAATATTTATACAGTATATAATCAAAGTAAAACCTTATTTGTTCCCAAAATAATGATACTGTATATAATATGTTGGATAAACAACAACACAAAACTGAAAGATATGAGGTGCAAAACTAAGACATTAATGGAAAAAAAAAAGAATGCTCTAGGACTCAAGGGGAAAAAGGCCAGAAGACTCAAGTAGTTCAAACCCCTGTTTTATCCAATTAATAAAAAATTTGCTGGGAGTTGGATTTTAACACCATATTTTAATTTAGCTAAAAAATCAATATGGAATATAAATAAGAATAAGTTCACCTATAGTAACATGTTACATCCGTAATCAGCACAGCAGCTTCTCACTCCCCCCCCCCCCCCGATCCCCCATTTTGACAGTGGGTCAGGGATCCTCTCCCTGTACCCATTGTCACAATTTAAAAACAGCATAGCCATGTGGAGCTCCAAATGAATGAACTACAAGTGCCGTCTGCCACCGTGGCAGACAGCTTGCAGTTCTCAATGAACTGCAAGGGTGCTAGTGAGCGCTCTTATAGTTCATTGATTCTTCCTTGACTTTCGTAACTGTCTGCCCATACTGGAAAGTCTGCAGGAGCCTGACATTGCACCCGTTATCTGCTGATCTCAGGTGCTCTGCTCTGCAAACTCAGAAGAAAAAACATATTTTTTTACTTGAAAAAAAATATTTTTTTTTACAAAAGTGAACTTATTATTAAATGATCTGAGAATTTTTTAAAAAGGTGTATATCTAAATACTGTAATTCTACCAGCACCAGGAATCACCTAATCTTTTATTCTGAGATATAAAGACTTCAAATCCATTGCACCATTGCTACTGTGCGCTGCCCTGTATCTGCCTTTAATGAAATTTGCTCATTTACCAAACAGCAGCATTTGCCCACCAGGATGCAGCTCAACTTTTCTTTTCCGTGCTGGCTGTAAATGGACTCTTTGTCTACTCAAATGGCAGAAAAGCGTCTTTTTTTTTTCTCCTTTCCTTTCGCAGTGGTAGGGAGAAAACACAAACAGAGCTCAAGGCCACACTTTATTTGCAATGAAATGAGAGGAAGGAATTGAAGTGCCATATTTCAATTTTTGCAATCTAGTTCACCGTTCTCTTGAGCCTCTTTAGAGGAATATATCTAGGCTTTCAGTAATATTCCAAGTGGCAAAAAAAAAAAAAAAGTTGGAGAAGAAAAATTACTCTCCAAAAGAGAAATTTCAGAATGGCACCAGTAAAGTATATCTGACATTTTCAAGTTTCAGTGTATCTATATCCAGGTCATTAATTAAAGTGGTTATAAAACCACTTTACATCCATGGACCAGTTATTTAAAGTGGTTATAAAGCCTAAACATTTTTATATTAATGCATTCCTTCCATTAAGGTAAAAAAATGTCTATGCATTAGTATCCCCCCTTCACCCTTCTTACATTTACCTGAGCCCTCACTGGACCCAACGATGTGCCCATCTGCAGCTCTTCCCTCCCCTCACTTCATGGTCTCACTGACTTTGCAGTGGAAAAGCCAGTAACAAGGGATTGAGGGACACAGACAGTGAGGGGAGGAAGTGAGCCTGCACGAGTGCCCCCACATAGACATCAGCTTTCTATGGGGGGCCTGAGAAGAGAGGAGAAGCCAGGAGAGCCCGTGGGGGGCCTGAGAAGAGCAGAGCAGGTAAGTATAAACCTAAAAAACCACTAGGAAACCTAACTTGAGTCATACACAAAATCAGCACATGGGACTGTGCTTACAATCAATGTGAAGTGTCCCTTGTGCTGTTGGCTCTGGTTTTAGTTTAAGTCCTCGATCCTTTGATCCCCCCACCCCACAGTCATAATCGTATGGTGCTGTGGGAATTAATACGTGCCAAGGGACCTACCATGAGCACTTGACAAGGGTGCTCTCTATGCTTGCTCTATCTGCCTCTCCTCCTCCATTCACAGGAAGACATACTATAACTTCCATCAATGAAAAGCAATCTATCAATTGAGGGGGGTGGATCCAGGGGTGGACTGAAAACTCATGGGGCCCCTGGGCAATAGGGGATCATGGGGCCCCTGTGTCCTTGCCCAAACTCAAAAAAGCCTATGAAAAAGGTACCAGGGGAATCTCATGGGGCCCCCTACTGACCCCGGGCCCTCAGGCAGTGCCCGAGTTTCCAAATGGTCAGTCCGCCCCTGGGTGGATCTTTCATTCATCTGATTGTCATCCATTCATTGAGAGCTTTCCATTGATAGAAGATATACTACAGCTTCTGTGAAGTGAGGGGGGGGGGGGGGTTGACATAAAAAGGGCAGGCATAGTCGGCACTCTTGATGAGTGCATATGACAGGTCCTCAGCTCACATAAACCCCATTGTACCAGAAAATTGCAGCTGCAGGGGAGTAGGGGGGAATCAGAGGAGAGAGGGTTTGAATTAAAACCACAACCAGCAGTGCAAAGGACATTTTAAACGGATTGTCAGCACAGTCCCTTGTGCTGATTTTTTTAAATATCTTTTGTCTAAACTTTAAAGATGAACTGAAACCTGAAAACTGTGCTCAAAAATAGGCAGTCAGAGGACAAAGGACTAGCCACCATTATTGTCCGTGGTCTCCTTGCAGCTGATCTTTCCCCATTAATGACGTACCATGCCTTATTCCACATTGTATCAGAGCCTCCAGCAAGGAGAACAGTCAAAATATCATCAAATCCCATTCCACATCTCCTAAAACTAGAAGTCGACAGCAGGAGTGAATCAGATTTTACACTGCAGACAAACAGCTATGAGGCTGTAGGTACAGGAGTACCTAGGCACAGGGGCGGACTGATCATTTGTAAACTCAGGCACTGCCCGAGGGCCCGGGGTCAGTAGGGGGCCCCATGAGATGCCCCTGGTACCTTTTTCATAGGCTTTTTTGAGTTTGGGCAAGGACACAGGGGCCCCATGATCCCCTATTGCCCGGGGGCCCCATAAGTTTTCAGTCCGCCCCTGCCTAGGCACGAAACTAATTTTCAGGAAATCAAAAAAAAAATACGTTTTCTAGGGGTTTTTAATTAGGCAGGGTCAGCATGTTTTTAGATGTTCTCTACAACATAGCAAATCATCACTTTTTTAGTTCAATTTGACTTTAATTTGTGCTTCTTAGACCAGTCAAGGTTTAGCTTTAACTTTTAGGTATTCTTTAAGTAGCAAAGTACTTAAAGCAGAACTTTACTTTTCAGTCAACATTGATTATTTTTATTGCATATGCTGCAAGCATTAGTATATAGATAGGAAAGCACATCATGCTTACTAGTTTTAATTTTTTTTTTTTACATTTCTTTAGTTTCTTTTACATTCCCAGATCTAGGCCAAAATGATGTCATACATTCCAGGAGTCTTCAGGAGGAAAGGAAGGTTTCCTCAGCTAAGCACACCTTCCTGCCTACATGTCTGAGCTAAGGGCAGATGGATTTCAGGAAATAAATGCTCAATATTTAATCTGCCCTTGCTCAAGATGGCCATGGCCAGTAATGTTGAGGAGTGTTTTTCAAAGTGATTTCTCAACAAAATAAAGCATGGAAACATGGAAAGATGGGTGAGTTTCCTTAAATATTAAAAATGAATGCAGTGTAGTTCTGATTTTTAAACAAATCAGCTGCCATTGGTATTGCCTATGTTAGATACTTTTAAAGTAATCACCTCATCGGTCCCATCAGCGCAGTCATATTCACCGTCACACCAAAATCTGGCAGAGATGCAGTCGCCGTTACCGCACAGGAACTCTTTCAGCGCACATGTCTGAGGCTCTGCGGAAAAAATGGAATTTATGAGAAACACACAAATAAGGGAAAATATACATATCTGTAGCTCAAAACAATTAACAAAAGAAAAATATATTAGCAGAATGTCAAAAATCCTAAATTCATGATCTTCAGATTAAAAACTGATTAATTTCCATCTATTGGAGGTGGAAATAAAAATGGTCATGCAGCTGCATATTTACCGCAAGGCAAACAAGGTGTTTGCCTAGGGCAGCAATTTTCGGGGGGCGTCAATGAGGTGGATGGCAGATAGTGGCAATGGTGGGGGAGGGGGGGGGGTTGCATTTATAAAGCAGTGGTAGGGATTAACTATGGCCATAACACTGTGTAGGAAAAAAGCACAGCAATATGGGACTCTGAACTCACGTGACCCTTCAAAATGATGTCTGACCTCTCCTCCAATCATGGATTTCCCTCTGCAGCCTTAGGCCCCATGTACACGGGACGTTTCTGAATGATGGAAACTGACTGATGGAAAACGTAGTTTAAAAAACGTCTGCTTTGCCGTGTTTGCATAATGCGTTAATGCGCATTTATGCGCGTTTGCGCTTAGAAGTGCAGAATGCACTGCAAAGTGGTAAATTATTAACTATTTCAGACTGTTTCAGAGAAATACAGAGAGTAGAAGCAGAGACAGCAGTATGTGTTGAGATAATTAGGTGTGAGTTGCTCCTTAACATTTCTGTTGTTTCCAAGGGTGGGAAGGTGTCTGGTGGAGGGAGTCATTAGGACCACCTGGCGGGGGTCTTCATGAGGAATTTGAGGTGTGAATGGTCATTAACATATCTTTTGTTTCCAAAGGTGGGAGAGGTCTGAGGTGTGAATTGGTCATTACAATGTGTGACGAGCTTGGTAGGCACATCCTGTGTTCAGTGTTTTGTCCATCCTTGAAAACTCTTTGCATTTGACATTTTTCTTTAACTCTTCCAGTTCCCGATGCTGTCCAGAGCCTTTTTTCATCATGAAACATGCATGTAAACACTTATAAACTAGATTTGCCGCATTTAGACGCGTTTAGCTGCGTTTACAAGCGTTTTGCGTTTGAAATGCTGATAAAATCGACGTCTGAATGCAAGTTTGTTGCGTTAAAAAAAAAACAACTATAAACTCAACTGCCTGTAAACGACTGTAAACGAAGATGTGTACATGGACACATAGGAAAACATTAGGGTGAGTTCAGGGGCTGCTGAAAAAAATGCTGAACAACTCCTAAATGTGAGTTTAGCAGCTGCAGTGTACATGAGCCCTTAGTGATATCTGCTCGCCATTAAAAATTGATCCGTTAATATTTCTAGGAGAAACAAACACCACCAGTGAGACCGGCTCAGTCAACAAACTGACCATTTATTCTACCAGGTACTATCAGTTACACTTCTGGAATATTGGTACTGATAAAGTACTCATCTCTTACAGTGTTATCGCTTATACTGTTACCTCTTTCAGAATTAAAGCAGAACTCCAGCTATAACTTTTTCCCTAGTTTTGGGTAGAGAGGGGAGGGGTTAAAGTGAGCCAATGTCTCTCAGCCAATCAGAAGGGAGAGACTCAGGAGAGATGCAGCTCCCATGCACAGCGATGGATCTGGATAGGGATCAGGTAAGTGTTGGGGGGCTGTGGTGGAAGTAACACACAGCAGGTGTTTTACCTTCCTGTATAGATGCATGAATATAAGAAAAACCTTTAGGGCCGGTTCACGCTATAGAAACGCAGTCCAGATGCATTCCAGGTGCATTTCCACATGCACATTTTTGACGCGTTCCGGTGCATTTTTTATGCATTTTTGACGTGCTCCGGTGCTTTTTTTTCTGCATTTCAGTTAATTTTTTCCCCTCTCTTTTTCTTCAATTCAAATAGGGACATGTGCGTTCCAGTGTTTTTTTTTTATGCATTTTGGTGTGTTCTCATGAGTTTTTGATGTGTTTTACCACGTTCCAGTATAGTTCTGTGCAGAAAAAAATGCAGCATATTCTACTTTTTCTTCTGCAACTGGAACTGCAAGCACTGATGTGAACTATAACATTGACAACCATATAACCTACTTTCCGTGCATTTTGGATGAGAAAAAAAGCAACTGAAATGCATGCAGTGTTAACTGGCCCTTAGAGCTGATTCACACATGTGCGGTGCAGATTGAAGCTCAGATTTCACAGCTAATTGACACAGTAGTTGTTCAGCAGTTCATGTCAGGTTTCACATCAGGTTCAGGGCAGGATTAGCTCAGGATTTTATCCTGTGCACATGTGCGGTTTAGAAATGGTTCCTGTAGAAGTCAATAGCCTGTAATATGCACCTGAACCTGAAGCCACTGCTCAGAAATTGGACAGGACTCTTTTTCAAACCACACTGAATCTGCACTGAATTCACACCAGCCGTGCACTGGACATACGTGAACAGGCACCATAGGAAGCAATGGTATTTCACATGTCATGCAGGTTAGATGCGGTTCAAACCACATCCAATCCACTTACAGTGAGTAACAGAAGTATTTGAACACCCTGCGATTTTACAAGTTCTCCCACTTAGAAATCATGGAGGGGTCTGAAATTCACATTGTAGGTGCATTCCCACTCTGAGAGACAGAATTTTAAAAACAATTCAGGAAATCACATTGTATGATTTTTAAAGAATTTATTTGTCTTGCACTGCTGAACATAAGTATTTGAACACCTGAGAAAATCAGTGTTAATATTTGGTACGGAAGCCTTTGTTTGCAATTACAGAGGTCAAACGTTTCCTGTAGTTCTTGACCAGGTTTGCACTGCAACAGAGATTTTGGCCCACTCCTCCACACAGATCACCTCTAGATCTGTCAGGTTTCGGGGCTGTCGCTGAGCAACACAGAGTTTCAGCTCCCTCCAAAGATGTTCTATTGGATTTAGGTCTGGAGACTGGCTAGGCCACTCCAGAACCTTGATATGCTTCTTACGGAGCCACTCCTTGGTTATCCTGGCTGTGTGCTTCAGGTCGTTGTCATGTTGGAAGACCCAGCCACAACCCATCTTCAATGCTCTGACTGAGGGAAGGAGGTTGTTGCTCAAAATCTCACAATAAATGGCCCCATTCATCCTCTCCTTAATACTGTGCAGTCGTCCTGTCCCCTTCACAGAAAAGCACCCCCAAAGCATGATGTTACCACCCCCATGCTTCACAGTAGGGATGGTGTTCTTTGGATGCAACTCATCCTTCTTTTTCCTCCAAACACGACGAGTGAAGTTTAGACCAAAAAGTTCTACTTTGGTCTCATCTGACCACATGACTTTCTCCCATGCCTCCTCTGGATCATCCAGATGGTCATGGGCAAACTTCAGACAGGCCTGGACATGTGATGACTTGAGAAGGGGAACCTTCCATGCAATGCATGATTTGAAACCATAACGGCGTAGTGTTCTACTGACAGTGACCTTTGAAACTGTGGTCCCAGCTCTTTTCATGTCATTGACCAGCTCCTCCCTTGTAGTTCTGGGCTGATTCCTCACCTTTCTTATCATCAGTGATACCCCACGAGGTGAGATCTTGCATGGAGCCCCAGTCCAAGGGAGAATGACAATCGTCTTTAGCCTCTTCCATTTTCTAACAATTGCCCAGCAGTTGATCTATTTTCACCAAGCTGCTTGGCAATTGCCCCATAGCCCTTTCCAGCCTTGTGGAGGTCCACAATTTTGTCTCTGGTGTCTTTTGACAGCTCTTTGGTCTTGCCCATGGTAGTAGTTGGTGTCTGACTGACTGTGGGGTAGACAGGTGTCTTTAAAGAGCTCAGACAGGTGCTACTAAGTTAGATTAATGAGTGGAGTACAGGTGGACATTTTAAAGGCACAGTAACAGGTCTTTGGGAGCCAGAATTATTGCTGTTTCTTAGGTGTTCAAATACTTATGTTCAGCAGTGCAAGGCAAATAAATTCTTTAAAAATCATACAATGTGATTTCCTGGATTGTTTTTTAAATTCTGTCTTTCAGAGTGGGAACACACCTACAATGTGAATTTCAGACCCCTCCATGATTTCTAAGTGGGAGAGCTTGAAAAATTGCAGGGTGTTCAAATACATCTGTTCCTCACTATATATGTGAACGGGCACTTAGACTTTACAACCACCTTAAAACCTGTCAGGTTTTTATTGTTTTCTATGTTTATTATAGGGATCCATTATCACTTTTTGTCCTGGTGACCATTGTCTAAGGGGAGGGGAGTGAGGGCAAATCCAATAAACTTGGCACTAGAACAGAAGCAGGGGGAAAACTTGCAATATTCCAACCTGTTCTGTTGACAACTAGTGGTGAGATTTCTGTTTTTCAATGTGGGGAGATTTCTACTCCTTTATCATTTTTTAGGGTAGGAAGTAAAATCTTGCTTGTGGAGACACAGACAGCAAAAGAAAAACATGCCACATGTCCTTGTCCTTGCTTATACTATCCAAAAAATATTTGGTTGGATCGGTACTTGAAAGAGGTTCCATATTATGAGTTCAAGACAGGTCTCCGCCACTCCTGCCTCTTGCACAATAATGGTCTTGTGAATGGGCTGTTCTTGATGTCATCACTTCCATAGACCGGCAGGAACAGTCCACCACTGGACGAGGATTGGAGGACAGGGTAAGTACAGTTTATCCCTGAGCCCCTAGACAAAAAGAGCACTTAACCCATACAGTGTGGGCACAGCCCCACTGCATGGGAAAATAAAAACAATTCTGCTTTAAGTTTGGCCCTCCACAACCACAACAGTCCCATTTCCCCCATGTGGTCCCATGGAAGAAGGAATTGCCCACACCTGCTTTAGAAGGAGAGATGAGGGTAGGCAGACTTCTTATTTTACTCTGCACAGGTTTCTTTTAACTATACTGCAATTATCACATAGAAGGCAAATAATACATGGCATAAATATAGGTGTGTGTGTGTAATGATTGCAGTAATGCACAGTTCATTTGAGTTGATCAATCCTTTATATGGTTTCACTCCTTCATCTTGTATGTTATTGTGGGTGACAGGGAAAAATAATTATAATCGTCTGATGCTTTGTTATTTATGCTTTTCTAAAAAGGTCATATACAGTCATTCTCCCCAGGAATAACATTATTCCCCAGCTTGTCAATAAGGGAATTTTATTTCTGAGAATCAGCATGTAATTATCAGAAGGAAGTCTCTGTAATCACACAGGAAGGCAAAGATGGAAAGAAAGCTATATTGTAATGTGTGCTGATTATTTATTTATTTTTTTCTATACCATCAAATAACAGCTCAGAATAAGAAAGCTTCCAAATGCAACAGGTATAAAATCTCTTTATTTGTGATAAAAATACCTGCAATATTGTTTAGGGGAAACTATACGTATTTTCAACAAGTACCCATACCGGTATATATAATGAGTTATTATTCCAAATATACAGTATGTACACATTCATTTTTAAAACTTTTTTTACATTTTTAATTAGTTGAAATACTATATTATAGTAATAATATTCCACATCCGTATTTATGTATCCTTCCCTCTGGTGACCATCAGTGCAACAGGCAGCACTAGACTACAAAGTGTGGATGGAGAAGTCTCCAGTGTCAGCTATTGTATTCAGGCACCTGCAACCTCTTGAATACCCGGGCAATTATCATTTTCCTTCAAGCTCTGTCTGTTTTTTTAATTGACATTTGTTGAACTGGGTGGTACTGACAGGGCCACCAAGATCTTGAATTTTGACCAATTCAGCAGGAATCAGCTGAAATTTAAGACATCTATGACCAAATTAAAGGACAAGTTCACCTTTCCACAAAAATAAAAAAAAAAACTGTTGACATGCTTTACAGGCTCCTAACACAAAAAAATATTAAATGCAAATTTTTTTACCTTACCTTCAATCTGCAGATCACTGATACCATGCAGGTCTTCTGCACACTGTCAGTGTATCTGCTTGCTTGTACATCCCATAAGGGCAAGCCAATATTTGCTGACAGGAAGAATCAAGGAACTACCATGGCGCTTCACAGTGCCATGGTAGTTCATTGAGGACTATAAGCTGACAGCCACTAAGGCTTTCAGGACTTGTAGTTCATTAATTCACAGAACACTGTGAATAAGTGACGCAACCATGTTGGCGGAGCCCAGCGTGGCAGCACTGTTTTTGAAATCTGACAGCTAGTATGGAGAATTTCTCCCCATACTTCGATCACGGGGGGCAGTGGGCAGCAGCTGTAGGATCAGGAACATGTTACATGTTCCACCCTAAAACGGCTGGAACATATAACATGCTTCCAAAGTTGAACTTATCCTTTAAGAGTGAACACCACAGAGTGTCTGACATTATCTAAAATGTGTGCCTCTCTCTAACTAGCTTCCCTTTGTAGACTTCCCTGATTTCAGGGCAAAGCCCTACCAACTGCCACATCACTTGCTAGGGATGAGTGAACCAAGCAAAGTCTATAGGAGGCTGCAAATGCTGTTATTTTTTTTTTCTAGCCTTTTAAAGGCTAATTTGCAAAATGTGAAAGAAAAAAGGGTATGGACACCTGGACACTGCAATGGGGAACATGTGCCATGCAAAAAAAAAATAGTAGAAGAAGAAGGAAGGCTCAACGTGTTCTATCAGTGAACAAAGTGATGGCAACAGTCTTCTGCACTGAATACTCTCAGAATCCCACAAGACTTGCCATCATTGATGAAACACTTCAAGCCTTTTTTTTCCATTTTCTCCATTTTCAACTTGACTACGGGGGGAGGGGTGGGTGTCAACTGTTTGCAAAGAGCACATTAAAACCATATACACATACACCATTTTCAGCGATGGACACCTGGAAAAGTGGCTTGGTGTAGTGATAGAGAAGAAGATAGCAGAGAACTTTCATGAATGTGGTCACTCGTTCCATGTTGGGCACTGAACTTCTTACACTACCCTTGGAGCATGCTTTGGAGATGCTTTAAACCTGTATGTGAAGTTATGAGGCAATATGATATTCTCATTTACAAATGATATTGTTTGCAAACAGCAGTGTTGGACTTGTCATTTAGCAGCAGTAGCACTAATGCAGGCCAGCATCTATTTGTAAACATATTGGGCCAGGAACTCTAGATAAGGATATTGGCCAAATATTGGGATGAATATATGTGGTCCATGATATCACCCAGGATCCCTCGCCGGTTTGTTACATACATACAGAATCTGTTGGCTGGGAATATGTCGTTAGCAATAAGCTGTGGGTGACCATCATTAAGCTGCTGGTCATCATGGTGGTGGGTCAACATTATCAGGTGGGAAGATCCATACAGCCACTGCATCTCTTAGCCCGTCATTGATTTTACAGGCTGGCTGCATGAAACATCTGTCACTCCCCAAGTGCATAAACATGACCCTCTGCACGGATGTATGGGTCCATGCATCCGAGTAAAGGAGGCCTTAAACAGAAAACATACATGTATTTAAAGTGTCTTTAGCTGTTTGCCTATTGAACTGTGTGGATCATCTCCAATTCCCTATAATGGTATAGTACAGCAAGAGCATAAAATTGTGAAATTCATTTTAAGAATCAATCTTATGTATTCTAACAATAAGCACACCAGAGAGAAGACTTAACAAGTCTGGTGTGTACGGTGGGGTTGGTACCTATCATATCAGCACAGGGGAACAATCAGAACATGGAGAAGCCAAAAGCGGGGAAGGGAATAAAGACCTGCTACATTCCACAGAGTAAATGTAAGCTTATGTGCATTTATGCATTTGTGGAGCATTAATAATTATGGTGCAGGTTCACTTTAAATATATGCTTTGAAATATGCTAATAGATCAACCCTGCTACTTACTGCAAGATTCTTCATCCGAATTGTCACCGCAGTCATTTTGTCCATCACACCGCCAGTGATCTGGAATGCAGTTCTTATTTTTGCACTGGAATTCATGAGGACCGCAGGTCTTTTTGTCTGTAAATTAAAAATACATTACCTAGCAGCAATGGAGAAGTAAATCTACAAATCACGTTACTCTCATGTAAAAGCCCAGCAAGGCTGCACAAATCTTAGGAGCTGGGTAGCTTAACAAAATATTATTTTTTTCCTTTTGAATTCAAGAAGAATATACACATTGACCTATCACAAGTGCTTGCTGGATGCTAAGTTAATCTGAAGAACAGATTTTGTAAACGTAACATACATAAGGCTCTGATGACAATGCTACCTCCCTTTGATAAGAATCTTTATTTTAAAAAAAGTGACAGTTATTTCACCTTACCAATGTAATTTTAAAACTAACAACAACCTTAGGTTTATTTTCACCCATGTGACTGTAAAGTGTTGTGAATTGAGCCCAGAGGCTCAATTCACAAAGTTTTAACACAAGGTTAAGGATCTATATTTTAGCCATGTGACTGTATTTTTTTATTTTATCGAGGGGAGTTAGAGGGGACTTATCGAGGGGATCTAGCTTTCTCAACAGGATTCACAAAAATGAGTCATTTGGCCTAAATTCACCTTCAACTCTCACTAGACCAGGGGCGGACTGACAACTCATGGGGCCCCTGGGCAATAGAGGATCATGGGGCCCCTGTGTCCTTGCCCAAGCTCAAAAAAGCCTATGAAAAAGGTACCAGGGGCATCTCATGGAGCCCCCTACTGACCCCGGGCCCTCCAGCAGTGCCCGAGTTTCCAAATGGTCAGTCCACCCCTGCACTAGACTCAGCTGAATATAACTGTCGCTATACTGAAAATAAGGATCTTTATAGGCAGATGCAGTCTGTTTTCTCCAGTGTAGTTGATGCTTGTCCGGAGCGGAACTGCAGCTGGAGGGGAAGTCAAGAGAAACTTGGTTTCTCTATGGTTCCCTTTGGCCTCTGGAGCAGTGTTCCGTTTAGCTACGCAGCATCCAGTTGACCCTGGTGACCATTTTGGGTCACACAAAGTCTTTTTAAGTACCTGCCCTTAAGTTTTGGTGTGCATTTGCGAAGTGGCTGCTGTAGGCAAAGTGTAAGCATCTGTCAAGGACAGCACTAGTAGTAGGGGATGGTTCCAGAGGAGTAGGGAAAGCTCAGAGCCTAAGTTTGCACTTCAGCAAGTTCCCTCTTGGGTTGGAACAGCCAGGCCTCATCCCACCTCCCTTGGCAAGCGCTGTCTGCAGCGTGGGGGATACTACTGTTGGCTCTCGGCTACACTGACTGTAAGTTCCCATTCGGGTGAGATCCCCACTGGGCTGTTGTACTATTTGCAAGTTCTTCAATATATCGGTTACTGCATTCTGGGCCTCTATGTGATTACTGCCATCACACCATGCTGTACCTACCCAACATTCTTATCCCACTGTTTTCCCTTTATGATTTGAGATTATGATATATTTGTATTCACTGCAGTTATAAGAATGTTTACCTGCTATTTTTGAATATGCAAGGATAATGCACGTACTGTTACAAATACTGTATGTGTTCAAACGTTTTCATATCTGTCCAAACATAATATATTGCATTTATGTTACTGTAAAAAAAAACGTATTACAACTCAGTGTTGAATATTATCAGCCATTGAGGCCCCATTCACACCTGAGCGTTTTGTACGCTTGAAGCTCAAAGCTCCAAAACGCTCAGAGAGAAAATATCAATATTACTCTATGGAGATGATTCACATCTCCACTCCAAGTTGCCTGAAGCAGAATGCCAGAAGCTCAAAAACGTTTTGGAGCTTCTTTTACAGTTGCATTCGGGCAGATTGATGTGTTTTTTGGTGCGTTTTCATTCCCATAGAAATACATGGAAACGCTTAAATTGCGCAATTTCATGCACTTTAGTGCATTTTATCGTGTGACCAAGAGCGTTTTTCTGGCATGGCAAAACATGGCAACAATTGATGTCACTGATAAAAAAAAAAATTTCAATTAGGTAGTACGAAAATGGCAGAACTCAAAATGCCAGAAAACGCCTGAACAAATCGTACACAAACGTTCATATATTTGTATAAAAACACACAACAAAAAGCACGAAAAAATGCACAAAAACTCTTTGCTCAGGTGTGAATGGAGCCTTAAAGTGGAACTGAGCTCAGAAAGTGAAGATTTCCCATGTGATAGGGAGATTCTAGACATGTTAACTGAGCCTAAGCAGTACCCTAAAGAATTACCTTTTGTCTTGACTTCTTCCTAAAATAGCAGTGCACTTTTTTCTTTTTTTTGGAGGGGGGGGTTGTTATTTTGAGGGTTTTTTTTTTAATTTTTGTTCTTTTTTTTTATTTTGTTAACTTTTTTTTATAGTTTAGACCTATGTTTGTCCCTAGCATCTTTGAAGTTATTTAGTTAGTGAAGGTGCTTAAGCCATTTAAAGTGGACATGAACTCAGAAAGGGAAGATTTGCTATGTTTTAGGGAACTTCTGGACATGTTATTGAGCCTAACCAGTACCCTTAAAGTGTTACTAAACCCAGGACCCTCCATTCACTATATTCGCCCTCCCACAGTACACAGAACATGGAAATGCAATTATTTTAGTAAATATAAACTGCTAAATACCTTTTCTCACCAGTAGTATATAGCAGTCTTGTAACGTCTGTCAGTGTGTGGATGATCACTGGTTAAAGCTTGTAGGAAGAATTTTCATTCTCCTCTGACCAGGGGTGGACTGACAACTCATGGGGCCCCTGGGAAATAGGGGATCATGGGGACCCTGTGTCCTCACCCACACTCAACACACTCAAACCACACCCAAAAAAGCCTCTGAAAGGTGCCAGGACATCTCATGGGGCCCCCTACTGACCCCAGGCCCAATGGTCAGTCCGCCCCTGCCTCTGACTGTCCTATGAGGCTGCAAACTGTCCAGACCATCTGTCTGGACAATGCTGATTGGCCCTGGGCCGACAACACGCACACACCCAAAAAAGTCCTCTATAGCAATATACACCAAACTGAACATGTGCAGCTTGTCTCCAAGCCTCTGTTCTATCAGGAATTATATTGGGGAAAATAGAAGAAGGGGAGGATAAGAGAAGTCAGTATCAAACATCCTTTTTACACAATGCAGAGGATTAACCCCTTAGGTTCCACAGTGAGTATAACAAGCGTGCTTTACTGCATATACAGACTGATATTACTGTTGTGGGTTAGTAACACTTAAAATATTCAGCTTTTGTTTTGAATTCTTCCTAAAATAGTATTACACTTCCTCGTGTGTGAAGGTGCATGGGGACTACAGTGCCTAAAGCCTCATATCTGTATATCTGCAAATCTAAGATCTAAGATCTTACATCTGGGATCTAAGGTACCATTGCCTATGACTGCTAGTCTAACAAGAAGGGGATAATATTTGGTCATGCCGCTACTCTGCTGCTCACTATTCTCCTTGCTGGAGGCTTTGACATGAAGAAGCAGAGAAAACACAGTAGCATTAAGATGCACCAATGTGCTTTCAATGACCAGTAAGTTTGCTGGTAGAGTTCATGTGTCCTTTTTTTTTCCCACTTTTTTGAAAATAAAGATACAATGTTGCAGTGGTGGTCCCAGACTTGGCCATGCTGTCTGGGAGGGATAGCTGCATCACAAGACAGGCTGTATAGAGCTACTAATCCTTTTCTGCATTGAACAGTTCATATATATATAATATATATATATATATATATATATATATATATATATATGTATATATTTACTGTATAATAACTATCTTGCACATTTTCCTGGAGTTCAGCTTTGTATTCTAAAGATAACACTCATAGAAACATAGAAAAATGACAGCAGAAAAGGACCAAGTGGACCATCGAGTCTGCCCTTTTGTGTGTATGTGTGTTTTGTTTTCGGTTTTTCTTTTTTGGGGGGGGTTGTTCTTTTGTGTTTTTTTTTGTTTTAAATTTTTTTTTCTGAGTATAGATCTATGCTTGTCCCTAGCATCTTTGAAGTTATCTAGGTATTTACTGTTGACTGGCTCACTACGTCTGCTGGAAGTTTATTCCAAGCATTAACTACCCTTTCAGTAAAAATATCACTTTCTGAGATTAGTTTTGAACTTTCCTCCATTTAGTTTAAGGTCATGTCCCCATAATATAGATTTAGGTTTCATGTTGAGCATACTGCCCTTCTGATCCTTATTCACCCCCTTGATGTATTTAATTTCATACTAATAATTATGTTGGATGAAAAGGCCTGCCTCTTATTCCAATTCATTCCAAATGTCTTTAAGTAGGTTAGAGGTCATGGCCCTGTGCGGGCCACTAGAGTTCCTCAACACCATACTCCTCAAACCATGTCTTTATGTAGCTGCCTTTATGTACAAGGGTGCTGGAACAGAAAAGGGACCTTCCCCAAACACAACTGTCTAAAATGTCTTTATATATTGTATGATTAACATTACCTTCACTAGAAACACTTTAAATTATTTGAAGGAGTTTACACAAACCTTTGGCCACATAGTATAAGCATTTAATTCATGAACTGTGCCTGACAAACGTGGAAAAAAAGAACTTTTGCCAAAAACGTTTGTTTTTCTGTATTTACACTGGAGTTAACTTACATGGTAATTTAAAAAACATAGTGGTCAGCAGAGCTCTTCTTTAATTGCCCTACATTTTCAATTGTTGATTTATCCTTTGATGGATTTAATAAGTTTAACAAAGCTTCTGTGAACATTCAATTTATTTTTTTAATTAATTCTGCAATTCATGGAATGTTTGGCATAACAAAAATGAAATGCACACAACATATATTTAGTGATTTATTATGGAAAAATGAGGATGAATGTATGTTTATTTTTCTTCAACTTCCACTGGCTACATGTAGTGTTGTAGTTTATTGCCTTCATTAAATGGTGAGCCAGTTACGGAAGTTATCAGTGGAGACATTTGTATGTTTAGCAAGTCTTTTTTTACCCCACAACATCTTTAAATTTCTACTCAAAATGAAGTGCAAACTATATTTATATACAGTAAAGAAGGAGAACAGGCACCATCTAATCTGCTGAA